ATTTGCAATGCATAAATAAAGCTTCCAACTGGCTTTTTCATTTATTACACAGCAAACATTTGTGTGGCAAAAAAAAAAGTTAAGGAAATTTCCTTTTGATTAGAAAGACCACAGTTACATTTATGTCTATGCAGAATAACTGTCTAGAAAGCCTATAGGGCGAAAATTTGTCTTGGGCAAAATTGCTGTCAGAGGTTTACAAGCGAAATTTTGGACGAATATACGGCATACAGAATACTACTTGTAAAACAACAACAACAACAACAACGATTTAATTAAGAAAATGATCTTTGTGATAATATCATATAAAAAACGATTACAGAAAATTTCCTGCAGAGATAAGCAAGTACTGTAAAAGCTTGATTACCTCACAATTAGGTTATTTAGGTAATTGCATGTTACATGCAGGCATTAAAAACGTACTCAATTCAGTAGAGCTCGGATTTTGATCAAGAAATTCGGTTAAATTAGAGAATAATTCAACGTTCGATAGTAAAAACTAACATCGTTTCGGTTTGGGGGATTTTTTTTCGTCAGGTGTGTAAAGTAAGAGAGCAACATAGCTAGAATAAAAGGGGCGGGGAAAGCAGTAGAAATTTCACAAGAATGGCTGGAGATGAAAGGGAACCATGAGAGAAATTCCCAAGGGTAGCATGAAAGTCAACGATCAGTGTTATACATCAGCCTAATAGATAATCCGCCAAGCATTTTTCATGCTGGTGGTACGACTGTATCACGTAGAGCTTGTGGAACTTCTTCGCCATGCGCATAGCTTAGTTACGGCTTTTTTAGACGGAAACGTTCCTCCAAGCCTTCAAACTATCAAACGGGACTGAGAGCAGAGTCTCCTGTTTACAGTATGTTAAAAGGATACAGACTGTTTGTGAAATTGGAAACTTTCGGAAGCTTTGATCTTTGAGGTTACCGAGTCATTGTTGATGTCCACGTAACCTAACAAATAACAACCAAGCTGCGATCGTACAAAAGCATATATTGACAGACTTTTGGATTTTTTATTTATGTGGAGTTAAGCGCAATGGGAATGTTGATGAATTGTAAACCTTTGTTTATCACACTTGCAGGTAAGACTACAGTCAAGTTGATTTGAAAATAATCTAATGTATTATAAACTATGAAATTTTATGATATTCTGTGGTCTCAAAATATTTTTAATTATTCTGCGTGACATTGGCTATGTTAGTCTGTATTTACTTTGAGTTTGAAGTAAGCTGATATTTAGCCGGTATTTAGTCCTAATTAATATTTCCGAAGTGCGTAAATGAAATCGGTAGTACACAATGAGAACTTTGCGTAGTGATAGTAAGAAAAGTGAACTCTGCGTACGTTTGTGTTGCAACTTTTTTTTACCGTGCTTACTAATGTGCCGGAAAATAATTAACTACTACATGTACATGATACGCAGAGTATCACCAGTTTATTTCTAAAAATAGAAAGCGAGCTGGAACCAGGCGGTTATGGTAAGGTCAGCCTGGGAAATCGGTGGCCTCTGGTCTGATGCACTTACTACATCAAAAACAGAGATATTTTTATTCCAAAGCAAAGCGGCATTATTTTTGCTATGTAATTGTGTTTTTATAGAGGAGCTCCTGGGTAATTTAAATATCACAAACCATTAACACACTAGCGTCCAAAGCAGTAAACATACAAAACGATTGTTAATGGTTAATTAATCTATGAATAGATGTTGCCTTGACAGCGTCTCACCTTTCTTAGCAAAGGTATGGTCCTAAAAACTTATTGTTCTTTTGGAAATTTAACCAGTCCATCTGTTGGATGGAGATGTGTATGGACCTATCCTTTTTCATCTGGAAATTAACTACTGTACGCACTATGTATGGTTAACATGTAAGAAATGTATTAGTACTTTAGCACTGAAACACAGCTTGTTGATTGTAAGTACATGTCTAATTCATGCGTAATACATGGCTTATTAGGAAAATGTAGATTATATATTATTTATTAGTGACAGCAAGTAATCCATTTCTAGCAAGTCATTATATTCTAGTTGTCCATCATTTAAATGCTAATATGTCACTCATAGCAAGCTAACACTTTTCATCCCCAAAGTCTAAATTGTTACTGGTCCTTTTTAATAGTGGTGTATTAGAATTTGGAATTGTGTCCTTTAAAAACACCTTGCATGGTTGCTTCAACTAGGAATTCTGAGATGAATAGTGGCCACTTTGAAGGAAAGATTCACGCTGCAATAAGATGTATGGAACTGCTTTCTGTCTTTGGAAATAATTGTATTTATCATTTGCATATCATCAGTTGTATATATTGCTATAGGAGAGTGTATGCAATGCAATGTAAGGGGCTCTCTGGCATAGCTTTTGGACTTGCAGTAGTTGGATACATAGATTCTTACTGTATATATTTAACTAGTTATTTAGTCTTGCACCCTTCTTCTATTCAATAATGAGGGAATAGCAATTTCTTCACCAAAGGAACTGATGGCACTGACTGTATTAAAGAAATGGTTTACACACCATACTTTTTTCTTTCAACTTGCAGACTTGACAAAGACCATAAACCTGTGTCAAAATAACAAACATAAAATTGATTTTATGTAAAAACAATTACCTGGAACTATGCATTGTGCAGGACCTATAATAGATCATGTCTGAATTATTCTCATTTTGTATATGAAGTTATGTGGGATCATCATGAATTATCTATTTTTGGGACATGCTCCCTTTTAGATCTGCAGTTACTGTGCTTCAACTGTAGTATGGTTATCACCAACCGTTTGATTATTTAAGGTATGTTCTGTACTAACTATAACTAGATGACTCACTAATTTAGAAGTATATTTGCTTTATATACATTATGTATTGTCATTGCTGACAGCAAATGAGAACCATACACCCTAATGAGGTTTTGTGACTATAAATAGGGTAGTTCACCTGTGCAATAAAAACTAAAAATGTTCCTTGTTAATTGTTTGGCTGATATGAAAAAAGATTTAATCAACTTTAAGCTGACCTTCGGGTTCAACCCGTGTGCCTACCTGTAATTAAAATTTACAACTACTGTATTATTTCCAGTCAAAGCAGGAAACAAAGTGCTGCACCTGTTTGCAGTGGTTTAAAGTTGCTTTCCTATTTGTGTTAAATGTTTCCAGTACTTTTGTTTGTGTTCGTAAGGTTTGGCCTTATGCAAATATGCACATGCTGATTCGAATGTGACCAAGGAGCCTGAGAGTGAAGTGGTATCCTGTGGTCACCATGGGAACAAGACCTGCACAGGTGAATATGATTTTTGATATTTCACTCTTTACTTGAAAGCTAATGTTTGTGACCCTTGCGTTCCCAATTAAGATCCACCAACGAATAATATAGTTATGAATGCTGCATGTTGTTTTTATTTCCTTGCTTTTGGAGTAATCCTGAGAAATACCCCAACACCAACTTTCATACAATCTGTTCATAACTGTATTGGAGCAAAACACTCAAGTGATTTAAAATTAAGAGTTGTTCGTGAATAACTATAAAAATACAAAGATGAAGGTTAAAACATTTTTTACATTATAGTAAGACAGTACAAGTAAGTTTTGTGTCTAAGCTAAGAAAACAATACCTTCATAAATCTACAAGTGCAGGTTGCCCCAGAAAAAATCAATACTTTTTTGGTGACACTTTTGCTGCATAATGGCTTCATAGTCCCTTCACAACTGCAACACAAGACATTATAATCACATGCATAATTCTTTATGGGGACATACGCAAATGATTATTGTGCAAATATATGGCACAGACATATGCACCATACTAAATGTGTAATAATAAATAATAAAAGGGTTATTTGACTCCTAAGAGAGAGTTGAAATTACTATCAAAATAAAACTAGAACTGTGAATGTGTTCCTTTTACTATGGCTTTTATACCACTCATATAACATTTTTGTTCTCTTCATTAAACATTTCACATATTAAGAATGCACAGATGCATGATCACATCAAGGCATCTTTTATCTTTGTATGCAATATACACAAGGGATTTACTGGGATATACAGTACTTGTGTTTGTGGTTACATTAGACTTAGTGTGCTTGCCAAATTACAGTATCTATCCCTTCCTTGATGTGTAATTGGAATAAGGGTTCCCGTAGAATTGCACCTTTTTCATATTTAATGACAGAAAGGTGAAATCACAAAGGTGCTGAGTCACTTATTCCATTTATTATTAGGCAGCTGAGAATCTTTGGACCTCTCTCAGTTTTCTTTTGAAAAATGATACGGCTGCTTTTCAGTGTTCTTTTCAACCTCACTTGTTGTCTGCTTTGAATTATGAGCACCGACATAAGGTTAGTAGGCTATTTCTTTCTTTGTGCCTTGTAATTTCCTTCTTAAATTAATAGTAGATGGGTACGTGAATGTTATTATAGACACTTTACACATAAATAGAATAAAAACAGGTTCCGAAGGTGTTCTGCATGTAATTTAATTATTGCCTTTGTCCTTGACAATTATGTTACACCTTTTTGTGATCCTTTCCAGTGAAGATCTAGTACAACGTGGAATATCACTTTTCAGTAATAAAGTTGGAATTAGTACCTCTCCTTACTGTAGCTGTTGAGCCAATATACACCTGTGGCATGCTCTTATTATTGGTTTACAAGATGTATCAATTTCTTGAATGTTAAGTAAACACAGAATTTTTATAAAAAATATTATTTATGTTCATCACTTCTGCCCATTTTGGAACATTTAAACTTATGATTAATAAACTGTCCTGTCTAAGGATGGGTGAGGATTATGCATACTTCCTTTCAGAACATCCACTCCATCTTTTGTATTCAGCCTTACAGTGCTTATAACGGAGTTAGCACATTTTAATGGAGTGACCCAGCTCTCCTTGCCAGTATTGCAAGTTATGTGCCCTGCAAGCTTAGGTTGCTGTTACGTATAAAGCCAAGACTTCCATGAATGATCAAGCCTTCTTGGCTGTAGCAGTGCTTTACCAATTATGCATTTTCCTTCGAAGAAACACAATCACAATTGGCTAAGGACCCCTTACAGTCAAATTTATAATAGCTGTAGGGGAAAAACAAGCACTTTTACTGACTAAGCAGCTTGATCCTTTAAATGTGACACAAGTTTCATGTTTTCTATTACAGTGTCATAAATCTTATGGTCAACATAATACGTACTAGACAGGTAATATTTATAAAAGTGAAAGCATTGCAAAGACCAATTAAGTTACAATTTATTACCTTTTATCAGTGAAACACCATGGGATCCCCAGTTTATATGTTGCATAATTTTTGACATCATGCCATGGTACTCGGCTAAGAATTTATGTTCATGAGACTTGTAGAAAGTATTACAGTATGTTTTGTTATGTCTGTGGAAGACATCTGATGTTGATTTAGTTTACTAGTTTTAACTCTGAGGAATGAATCTTTCCACTTTACCAAGTATAACTAGTAGAGAAATTAAATGCTTCCCAAGGTCTAATCCTAGACAGGAAGTTTAGGACTTGAGGGCCTGCATTAGATTGGTGGTTTTCTGTTTTGAGTAGAAATGGTGCCAAATTTGTTTGACACCCTCCAGGTTTTGTACTTTTTTTGATGGTGTACGTCCAGATAAACAGTAGCTTTTGCTTAGCTGTCAAACCTACTATGGTAGTATTACTGTTTTACTGTATAAACAGTACATTCCATCACCGAGTCAGGCTCTAGGAACACGTTTAAATCCATCGGTGAGACAGTTAGGTCTTGTCTTATGAGTTGAAGTTTTGTTTTAAAAAGATTACATGGGCTATTAGAAGCAAGCTTCTGTAAGCCCACAAAATCAATTTGGCTATGTGTTGTCAGTCAACATGGGAAGGTCATTTCCTCTTTATGTCCTAAATACATGACTGATTGTAGCGACCAAGATTTCTCAGTCTGCAATGGCAATAAGTTCTTTTCTATTTTCAATATAGTGGCTGTACTGCTGCTTATACTGATACCTCCACCCCTAGATTTCTTTACCATACAGGTGTCGTTATTCTTTTTACTACTTAACAAAATAAACATCTCAATTATTCAGTCTCATTAATGGCAACATTTACATCCTTGAATATGGCACTTCAATGTACTGCATAGAGAAAGCTTGGGTATTAAGAACATGAATATCTAAATGTTTCATAAACTGTGGTCAAAATTATTTTCATTATTCATGTAAGAAATTTTAAAAATGCTTTGAACTGTTTATAGTTGACACTTCACATCAGGTTTTCATAGTACATTATATAGTGTGAGATCTTTCTGTAAAATATTAGGGGATATAATTTATCTGTGTTCATTATCCCATGGCCAGCAGAGGAATCCTACTCTGTTGGTCCCCTAAGCAAGGCCCTTAATCCCAGCTGGTCCAGGGGTGCCGTATAAATGGCTGACCCTGCGCTATGGCCCCAAGCTTCTCTCTCCCAGCATGTGTGTCTCATGGAGAGCAAGCTGGGGTATGCGAAAAAGACGAATTCCTAATGCATGAAATTATATATGGCCAATAAATGATCTTCTCTTATCTAGAAATGCGTGCAACTGTGCATCTAACAAAATTTGAAACGTTTACTTTTTCCCTTGTAAGTGTAACTTACATCATTTCTGCCTGCTGTGCATGTTGCTTTAGGTAATGTACCAAATATAAAGAATGCTAAAGTTTGTGTTGTAAATGTTGTACCTTGCATATACAAACATTTTTAAATGGAAACCATTAATGAACGTAGCCTTGTTGTCCTGTGAGGAAAGCTGTGAGGGCCTGTTCTTTTCAGAGGCTCTTATGAAGGAAAAGCATTATCCAGTGACAGCATTCAGAAGTGTAATCGGATTGAACTGCATTTATTGATTTTAGTGTATAAGAATGAGTAAGAGAGTTGACTGAGCACAGGTGATTTATTCTTTATTGAATGTCAAGCCTAGTGAAAATCTAGAAAAATAAAACTCAGAAAGGAGCCTCTCTGTCAGTTGTACCCCACTAATTAATACAAATGCATCTTTGTGCCTGAGGTATGCTGAGGCTTGACTAAGACTTGCAGTCATGAAGTAATTTTCTAATCTGCCAAGGTTATGATGGGCTATGGTATGGGAGACTAAAAGATACAAGCACGAGTGAATGAATTTTGCTACATGTTACCCAACTACATTCTGTAAGGGATTTCCTTGCTGTTGCCCTGGCATCTTTCAAAATAAGGCTTATTGGAACTGTCCGACTGCAGAACTACTAAGAATCAAGTTTGAAGCTGGACTGCATAACTTTCTGGCATACAGTATGTAAGATTTGTTGTATTCTAATATTAGATAATGTGCTATTTTTAATATGCCTGAATCAGACAACCACTACATTAAGGTTCGTTTGTGTATTACATATGTTAACATTAAAACAAAGGTCATAAAAGAGTAACGTTATCTCCTCTTTTGTAAATAGCTGTCACCAAGGTTGAAAAATGGAGTGGGCACTTCTCTAACTGTCCAGAGGAGTACATTGATTACTGTATTAAGGGAAAATGCCGTTTTGTGGTGGACGTGCAGCAGCCTGCCTGCATGTGAGTTTTGCTTTTTAATCATTATGTAAAGAGTTGAACACCTGAAAGCCATTTTAGAGGGTCTGCAGGACTTAATTTTCTGTATTCTGGTCTCAACTGCCAGAAATGCTCAGAGAACATGCACCATGTAGTCAGGAATCAAAAGGGACTAAGCAGAACACATGCTTTCTTTGTTTTCCTGCTTCAGTGAGAGAGCACTGAGAAGTCACAAACCTAAAAGATAAACCTATATTTATTTACAACACCTAATGCATGACCACAAAAACTGTTGTTTACAAATGATTAACAAAGGTGAGTGAGTCCTTTTGTCTAGATTTTCTACAGTCCTAAGCTTGATTTGGTGGCAAATCCATTCCTATGGAGAACTTTATAAGAAAGAAAAGGTACAAACCACAGTTCCCAGAACTGACACAAGGGACATGAAATATTCAACACTTCAAGGCTTCAAACTAAGAGGTTTTCTCAACTTCCTGGTAGCTGTAACATGAAACACAAACCGGAAATGGAAAGGTATTTCTGTATCTCTTTCTTCTGGTGCTGTGCCAAATTGCTTAGAAATACTGTATGAGAGTGCAGTTGCTAAAATATATATTTTTAGCAGTCTTTGGAGGCCTGGCATTCTTAAACTCAACATCTTCAAAGTGCACTTTAACTTGGATGAAATCTACCACAGGTTGCTGGTGGGTGGCATTTACAGGCTGGAACTTATTGATCCGTAGTGTCATACAAATCCTGACATTGCCTGAGACAAAAAATAAGCAGTTTGAGATATAAGCATGTGACCATGACATATACTTTAAAATGAAAAGGGATAAGTGTCACAATAAAAACAATATGAAACCTGTTGAACGGAAAATTCACATATAATTAACATATCTCTGCTTAACTGGTCACTCTGCATGTGGGTCCCACCTTCCTCGTCTTGTGAGGACAGGGCTGGTCTTCAGGTAAACTGGCTTATCCAAATCTCTAAAGATCTCTATACACAATAAACTCAAACACATCTAATTCTTGGGTGTAGTTATTCCTTGTGAGCCATCAGTAGAAATTGTCATGATACCAGGCACATGTAAATGTAAAGAACGTGTCTTTGTTGTCTTTAAACACAGTCATAATGGAACTACTGTATAACACCATTTCATATTTTTTATTTTCAGATGTGAAAGGGGGTATATTGGACACAGATGTGAATTATTAGATTTTTTCTACCAAAAAACGGAGCAAAAGCAAATCATAATTGCCAGTGTGATAGCAGCACTGGTCTTCCTGATACTTCTGATCATTTTTATTTGCTGCTGTGCTCAGTAAGTATTCTAGGTTTTTTTGTAAAACTTTCCAACACTTAATTGCAATGAAATGCAACTTGCATACAAAATTTGTGTGTCCAGTCACATTTAATTATATTTTTCTATATTTTAGTTTCTGTATAAATGCAATTTAATTTAGTATTACTGAAATGGACCGACTCTTTCATGGAATATGTGCTTGTTCTTGATGATACTGATTAATTATAGAGATACTTTATGCATTTTTATGCAGATCATTTTCTTTGTTTTATCCTCATGTTACTTTAAATTTAAAAGAATATTTTGCCTAACCACAATCAAAATTGTACAGGTATGAAACAGATGTTGGTGCTCAGGTGACAGTGTTTCCCTGAATAACTCCAATAAGCAGTTTGTATCATTAATATAAAGTGTAATTGTAGATACAAGTGTAGTTGTTTAATTTGTCAGCAAACATATTCTGTGCTTCAGCTATTTGAAAGCTTACAAATGTGTGAACCAAGTTGAAATTGTTTACAATCATATTTAATATATTACAACCAAAGTCATTTAACATACATACCAATGCCTAGAAATATTAGTCATATATTTGTATTAAAATAATACTGTATAGTACTGTAGGTCTCTGTGTTCAACACGTAAACAGCTGGAATAATCCATTTGGGGATGGATGAATGATTGAAATAGCAGAATTCTTGAAACTTATTGCATACTTATTGACCAGTCAACAGGCTGGTCAAACTAAAATCTGGAAATTTGTGCTAAGGTGAAGGTTGTAATATTAGTGATCTGTGTATTACCCTTCAACATGGTTAGAGCAGTATACTGTAGTATAGTGCTGTGTGGGTATTATATAAAACTTATATAAAATCTCAGAATGAGTATGTAATTGCTGGAACACCTCAATGCTGGTGCAGTTAAATTAAAACTTCAGAAATTTCTAGCCGACTTACAACAGAAGTATTACTAAAGCCAAAAATGATACCCCTTTTGAAGAAAATAATACGTGTTTGTATATTCAATGTTTATTTTTTAGTGGATATTTCAACCTTCCCAACTGAAGCATAAACAAGCGAAATATTCATGCTGGGAAGGACTTGCTATTATGTCTGTAAATTGGTAGTTTTAGCAGTAAAAATCCCCATTGAGACTGATAATATGTAAGAGATTTATTTAATTCCTTATGGTCATTTAGAATTTTGCATAAGCAGTACACATTTACAATTCTTTTACTGCATTACACAATGTTAATTTTATCCACTGGAAAGCCTGCCAAAAGTATTTTAAAACAAAGACCTTTTGTCTCAAAGATATACATTTAATTATTATATTTTACCAGGTAAATGAGCAGTTGATCCCGTTTAACTGTTTTCTGGCACGGTTTCAAGTTCACCAACGGTAGTATTTAGGGTGCATTGTTACTGAAACTAGTAATATTAAAGGGGGTTATTATGTATTGTCTTAAATTATAATGTGACAAACCCCAAACAAAGTTCTGTCTGAGGTTACATTTAAAATAATACATTCCAGTAGAATATTTGCATGGAATTAATGTCAGAATTGTTGGTGTCTCTGGGAAATATTCAATTAAATGCCGACAGGTATACAACATTCATTTTCTAATTCAAGAATGGCAGATATTATCTTCCACAAAAGTTTAAGGTAGAAGGGGAAACTCTAATACATGGATATTCTATTCCTTTCAGATAAATTGTCTTTGTGTGTTTGGTTCAAGATTGAGACCTCAGGCAGCTCCACAGTCCACTCCTTCTCATTTAAGGACTTCAGGGTATAAAGTAATTCGATTCATGTGGTCTTATTTTTTTCTTTTAAGCAGGAGGAAGTTATGCTTTAAACGGAGAAAGAGGAAAGAAGAAAAAACAGAAGAAATAGAAAAACTGAACACAATTCTGTCTGAAAAGCCAGAAAGCCACAGTGTATCTGTAAATGTGGATGCTTCAGAAACCAACACTGTATGACAAGGTACATTTGTGGTAATTGCATTGGTGTTGATATGGCTATTTTGGGTGTTTTTGGTCGATATGGCATCCCATGATTGGTTACAGCTGGTCTTTTGTGACGCTTTGCCACTGTGAATTGCTTCGGCTGCCAGCACTCTCCTCTACTTGACCTCTTTCTGAATCTGTCCTCGCTGAAGCACATGGATATGACCATTCTTTCATAAGTCTGTCACCTGTGTCACATATCAGTCTGAGTTGTCTTCAGCCATACAAATAATGGAGACTGTGACCTGTGAAATCCAGTTATATCTGAGGAAATTCTGGTATTGTTGAATTTTAACAATATCTCCCATATTAACAATATGTATCCTGCATCTTAGCATTTGTAAAAAACAGTGCTTTACTATTTTCTAAAATTCCCCTATGTCTTTAAAAGCATATAGATTTTGTTTCACTCTCTGCAGTTGAACAAAATAATTTGATACGTGTCTTTGACTAAAACTAGGATCCTGTTTTATGAGCCTGCTCCTTTTGGCCTTATTCATCTTGATATGATTTTATTAAGATTAATGCATCTCACATTGTAATATACAGTAGTAACCATATGTAACATCTGCTACACTTGCACTGAGGTGTCCCTCTCCACAAATTACATTGAAAAAACAGATTACAGTGATGGATAATAAAATATTCTTCTCTCCATTCCAGACCTTAAATAGGCTCCGAAAAGCATTCTTGGCATAAAGCCTTTCTGCCAGACAAAATACATAAAATACTTTCAGCAGCAGGTCGTTACTTAGTGCTTAATCAAATTGGTGACATTTAGAACATTTACAGTAAAGTTCAGTGTGGTCTCTTCAATCGGTTTTATTTTCTTTTATGGTGTAAGCTGAGAAAGTTTCAACAATCGCATTATCGGAGGATGTCGTCATTGCAGCTTGCGTGAACATTTCCATTTCTCTGTTTATGGCAGTGTTTGGAGCTGTTCTGTTGCAAAGGTGAAACTAGGACTGTTATATAAAACATTTACTGTGCAGTTTTTCAGTGTAAATTCTTTTCCTCTGTCCACACATAATTTACATTTCAGCTCTCCCATTATTTGTGGTTGTTTCAGCTTTGATTATCTGAAATTTGGAGTTTTTCTAATGGATTGTATAAATAGGCCTGATGTGTTATACTTGGGAGAGGCTCAGTTATAGCACCATATTTCTCTGTCTGATTTCAGGGCTGTTTTGATTACAGGAAATATTAATACAGTCTGACAGTGTTGTGACAATGATTAGCAGATTTAGTTTTGTACCTTTCCTTATTTAAGGATGAAGTTATCCTTTTTTCAGTCTTTTTCTGTGCCGATTGCATAAAAGCATGCCCTGCCGATCATTATATTTACTTTCAGCAATTGTTCCTTCTGTTTTTTTTCCCAGTGAAAAAATGCTGACATAAAGACGCCTGCTGGCCAGGGTGTCTGCTTTGGAATGTGATCGAACAAGACGTCTAGTTTTGCTATTCTTCTGCAGAGACCCGTCTATATTTTATGTGATCCCATTTTTGCTTTAAGGCAAAAGGATTAACTTTCCTCCATTGGATGACCACTGTGAAACCTCTTAAGAGTTTGCATCCATCAGAAACAGTCACAAGGCACTGCTGTGATCTACAATTGATCTTCATTATCTCTGGCTTAAAATGCACTTTAGCCTGTACTGAAAAAAATGAACAAATATCTGGGAATCTGTAAATTCACTCACTTATCTCTTAAGACATTTGGAGTCTTTTCTGTGCATTTTAAATCAATTATTTATTTTTAAGTGCGAGGACATGTTTGCTCACTTTTAATTTATGGCTGAGCTGCCTACAATTTTGAGAGCATTTCATTTTCAGAAGTGTGTTGATCTACAGTAGCTCATTGAATTTGTAGTGCTGGGTTTGCTGTTGTACTTTCAATGTACAGAACACAATGACTGAGAGCTCTTGTAGTAAGATACTGGTAATATAAGGGAAGTAGGGTTACTCAGCGAGGTGATATTGTAATAGTCCGGATAATGAGTACGAGGATGAAGATTTATGGTTTACCGATATTTGAAGATATTTGCTATGTTTTCTTTTGCAAACATTAAGGTGTATTTATTACCTTGCTGTTTCTCAAGTATGTATAGTGTGCTTTATATTTTTATGAGTAGTAAAGCTGACTGCGGAAGTGTGTCACTAGTCACTGTTCAATTATGTAGACCACATTCCTTATATCATGAAAACTGCAGTTTTCATATCAAACATATAAGAATATGAAGCTTAAATGCATAAGGACCATTGCATGTGTTCTATTAAGAAGTTTTCAGTGTCTAACAGATAATTACAACACTGAGGATAGGACATGTTTAATACATAATAGATTAGTTAAATCGTTTATATTTTTTAACTTTTTGCCAAATACAGTAGATACAGTATTTGTAATACTAAAACATAAATAAATATATAGTCAAAGTAGTGTGTTAAGTCGTGCATGTATCTTTGTTACAAAGTTCTTCAGTAACTGACTAGCAGTAAGGATGAACTTTAATCTTTTTTTTCATAAATAGAACATGACTAGAGTTTAAAGCTTTTAACTAAGTGCGTAACTTATAACAATGATAAATGTTAAATGATAAATAAAGACCTGAATGAATGGCATGCAATGTGAAAGAATGTGTAAACATTTCTTTTTTATTTTAGGCTTCTTTTCTCTGTCTTGGGCCCATAAATGTGGCAGAGCAGTTTCAGAAAACCTTTATTATAAAGAAAATATCTGAAGGTGACTATTTTAAATAAAATGAATATATTCTTTTATCTTTTAGAAGATTCATATAATGTGTAATGCAAGTCCCAGGCTATGGTCTGGACCCATGGTCTCTTTATAAACTTGTAGTCTTGTAATCTATTTGAAGCAAAATGTTATCTTCAAAGACAGTGTACTTTTGGTTGCTCACGATCTCCTTCAAGCCTATACAACAGTGTTCTGCAGTTGGCGTTCACAGTATGTGTTCCATGCTCATGTATTTTGTGTAGAATGTTTTTTTGTTGTTGATGTGTATGTCTAACTTAATCACTTTAATAATGTAAAAACACAAACTGGGAAATTTTTAAAACATTTTACATTATGGGCGCTACAGTATATGTCGTTACCATATATGATTTCTTAGGTGCCCCTTTCCACAATTGTATCCAATTTCCCTTAATTTAAAATCCATATTTAACTCTTAATTTCTTGTTTTGTATTCACGATGTATATCAAGATTGACATAAGCTGTCTTATCCCCATTTAAAAGCTAGTGTGGTAATGATTATTTTTATACTGTACATTTTGATGTGTTGTTACTTTTCTTGGGGGTTTCCGTTTGTCTTTAGGTTAAATTATTCTTTAAAAAACATGACAGTAACATTTATGCTTTGAAGTAATGCTTATTACAGTTGCAAAAAGTCTGGCATACCACTCATTCATGCCTAAAAGTAACATGATTTGTGCCAATAACAGCTGCAGGGAAAAAAGGTACAGAGTCCAGGAGAAAAACTTTATTATTATTATTATTTAGAGTATTTATTATTTATTTAGAGTAACTCATTGCATTAAGCGGTTTAAGAATTTATTTTTTCTTTGGTTAAAATGTTTTGATAATTTACAGATTTTTTTTTTTTAGTTTCAACCTAGTGGATTTAAGGGACGATGACCTGGTACTGAACATTCATTCTTACCTCCAACAGCTGCAATTCATTATTGTGGAATAACAATCTCATGATATTTACTGAATATGTGCATGGGGAATCATCCTCAGTTCAGAATTAGGATCCCCCCTAGTCCTATGCTTTTTATACCTTGGCAGAAGTCTAATTTGTAATCTTAACACTATTTTAATCAACTGATCAAGAAAGAGGTATAGAATATGGATATTAAAGTATGCTTGAGGAAGTATGCATACAGTATGTGTTGAGTATTGCTCTTTTTCAAGAACAAGAAAGTCATTCAACCTTGGTACGCATTACATCTGTGGTTTATATTAATGTTATTTTGAATCACAAGTACATTGATACAATAATAAAGTATAAAATACACCAGTGCTAACGAAAAGTCAATTGTATTATTTGCAAAGACTATGTGTATATAGATGTATATGTGTATATACCTAAACATACTTAATTCATAATAATTAAGGCCTGGCAATACTACAGGGCTAAGTCTTAGTGATTTTGCACCTGGTCTGGATGAGTTTTGGATTATCCTTTGGCTTGTTGGTTGTGCTTGCTCTGGCTTTCAGCTTTTGCTTCCTACTTGGTTCTCTGGTTTTTGGATTCTCTTTCAGCACCTTGATTTTTGAGTTTTCACAGATTCGACCCATGCCTAATTATTTCAACATTGGCCTGTGTTTCTCTGCTTATTCGCTGTGCTCTCCAGTTCTTCATTTACCTGCCATTAGATCCCCGTCTTCATTTTGCAGAGTGCTGTACTTTTCGTAAGTACAGTATATTACAAAAGTGTTTTATTTTCACTTATAGTGGTGCAGGGTAAGACTTTGTCTTCTATGACTCCTCAGTAGCATTCATGAATTTTTTAAAGTGAAGCATGTTACAATTATGTAACTACAATAGAAATGGCGAGCATGATCTTTCCAGAGCTGTCTGTTGCTTAATACTTCACCTAATTAAATATGGGCCCTGCATTTGAGTTAGACATAATGTAGAAGCTGAGATGAGTAGGAAGAAATGGGTGTGTTTGATTACTGTGATCAATTTGTAATCGAAAGTGTATAATATAGATACTATATCCTACTTTGAAAATACTGTAAACATTGCTGGTGTCATGGCAGGGAGGTGATACATTTCTAAGGAAGTGTGCAGACCCACCCTTTGCAAGATTTTCGACAGGGAGCAATGTTACATTCGAGTGGTAATTGTCCTTGTAGTTGACTCCTCAGTATTATAAAATGAACATATGGGGAATAGGCAGTGAAAGCAATTTAAACAAGAGTGTAAAGACAAGAGCAAATGTTGCTGGATATCTGCTCAAAGTGTTTTCTGTGTGCACTGTTTAATACTGTATATATGATCTTGAAACAATATAATTTAAAATTCCACTTAATGTATTGAAGGCAGATGGGTAAATACAGTATAACCCCTTTTCAGAAGACGGGGGAAAGAATTGGAGTCCAGGCTACAGAGGTGAGGCGCTCATCAGGCTTTATTTTCAGCTGGACTTAAGGGACCATACAGTAGCATAAGAGAAAGAAAAGTTTTTCTCTCCTTTTTCTTTCTATGCCTGTTCCCCTGGTACAGCTCTCTTTATAGCCGGATAAAAGAAGTTACAATTCTTACTCTCACACAGCCCCCTCTTCCATCAGCTGGATGACTTTCCATTCTGTTCTCAAAAACAATTTGTAGCTACCTGCAGTCTACGTATTATGTTAGAACTACAAGGTCATATTGTTTATGCTTAAAATACGTAAACAACTTAAAATTTAAAATGTAAATTTTGCTTAAAATTTTGTAAACAACTTTTTACGGATGCAAGACCATCGGTGCTTTGAGTACTGGCATAAGGTTTCAAGTGATAGAACTGCAATAATTTTGAGACGATCTTGGTGACTTAACTGAGATCCTTTTATGTAGGTGTTACCTGAAGTCCTGGTGGAATGATGAGAACCCAGTCAGTCTCTGCCCCAGCCCCTTTCTAAATCCTCACATTCCCTGATATCATTTCTCAAAAGCTATATACTGTATATTCAAATCTCTCTCTTCCCACATTTTGTCAACATTTGCTGTTGTCTTTACACTCTTGTTTAAACTACTTTCACAGTCTATTCCCCAGATGCTCATTTTATAATGTTAGTTGTGCTTGCTCTGGGTTTCGACTATTGTTTCCTACTTGGTTCTCTGGATTTTGGATTCTCTTTCGGCACCTTGATTTTTTTAGTTTTAACAGATCCGACCCTTGCCTGTTCATTTCAGCCTTGGCCTGTGTTTCTCTGCTTATTCGCTGTGCTGTCCAGTTCTTCATCTTGCCTCCTGCACCCTTTTCCTACCTGTGCAGCTCTTCCTTGGTCCTCACTCTGCATGGGGCTCCCAGCCTCCTTGTTCTGTGGCCAGGGGACTGGCCCTCAGCCGAGAGAGTGAAATCAAGTTTCACTCTACTTAAATACTCAATGAACATTCTCAAATGCATTTATGTCTTGGTCGTCATTCCTCCTGAACTCAAGTTTAAAAGGACCAACCTATGAAGTGTCTGTTTAGTATTTCCGTTTTGCGTACATTTATTCATTCACCGATATTTAAAAACTAATCTGAGTTGAAAAGAAATGCAGGTTTTGGGCATGGACGTTCTTAAGTACTGGTTTCTTTGGGACGAATGCATTCTGAAAGGCAGAACACCAAGAGTAGTTGTTCAAAGCTTTTTGATTTTTGATCAAAGAAGCTAGTTAAGCGCCCAGGTACTGCTTATAAACATTTCCTAAAGGGCTCATTGTAAGTTATATCAATGAAGCATAACATTCATTAATCATTTTTGGTCCACACCCTTCATTGCTTTGTGAGTTCCTCATTGTGAGAAAGAGCGCCATATCAGATACCTTTTTCAATACATGAGATCCGGTTTCTACATAAACGTCACTTCATAAAAATGTTTTTGTCTGAGCTATAATTTGACCTCACCTATAAACTTTAGGTTTGTTGAGTCCACAGAAATGAAACTCATAAAACTGCTTTGAAGTACAGTTTATTGCTCTGTCTTTTGGAGATTATGTATTCTTGCCAACGCAACTGGCATTTGTGAACCTCGCTTTCTACCTTGTATCCCATGCAGTGTGTTTTCATCTGCCATTAATAGCTCTACTTGGCTCCATGTCAGTGGCCAGGAACGAGTGGAATCCAGCTATGCTGCAGGAGGCATCACGTGATGAATGGAAGATCACAGCACAACAAGATCAACAGGGCTATGTTAACTGATCCACAGAGGAGCAAGGCTCTGGGGGAACTTCAGCTTCTCTCAGCAACATAATAGAAGGAAGATTAAAAAATATGTGCTGTAAATATAGACACAAATCAAAATTTATTTAAAATTGTATTTAAAAAAGAAAAAAATAATATTGCATGCTGCCCAGAAGTCCAGTGAGATTTGTTTGGATTTTTATTCTCAAACCATTCTGTTCTGTGTTTGTTGGATAGACTCTGGGTTGTTTGGAATACTGTCAGAAATATATCTTGTCATACTACTGTTGCTTCCCTCCTTCCCATGCCCTGGGGCCCTACATCTGCAGAAGGTTCTTTGATTCATCCTTGAAAGTGAATCAACATTTGATCACCAGTTTAAGCATAAGGGCTCCGTAATGCGAAGCCAGGGTGTGAAGTATTTCTTAACATAGAACCCTCAGCAAATTAGAGTGGCTCAGCCGAGAACTCTGAGAACTACTTTTTGCACTCAATGAACAAATGTACTCATGGGGATGATGAATTGTGCAAGCATTGCAATCAGCCATAAGATTTGCATACTAGGGTCAAAGTTTGTCTGCCTACCCATGCCCTTTCGGGTTTTGTTTTCAAGGCCTTAAGCTACTTAAAAAGAAAAACAAAAGAAGCGTAAAGAACGGTTTCTTTAGGTTATTGATAATTACAATATTTAGCATCCCAGTCTATAGTCAGCCATTGCCTTCTCACATTTAACATAACGTTTAAGATCAGAAGCAGCAAAGGTATGTTGCCCATCTTCCGATTAGGGTGTGTCACGTCAGGTTGTGTCAGGTGTAATACAACTTAAAAGTCAAATAGATTACTTGGCTACATTGTACAGGACAATCAGGAACCTATAAAATATATAAAATCAGGGAAGACAGTAAATTGCTATGTAACTGTATAAGTTACAGGGAGCTATGTATATGAGTGTAGTACATATAATGATATAGAATAATTTAGAATAATGGTTGTCAAGCTAGCGCAGTGCTTAGCATTGTAGCCTCACAGTCCTGGGAACCCAGTTTCAGTTCTTGACCTAGGGTGCTATCTGCATGGAGTTTGTACGTTCACTCCTTGTCCGCATGGGTTTCCTGCAGGTGCTTCAGTTTCCTCCTACAGTCCAAAGACATATCGCTACTTTATTTGGCTTCTGGGAAGCCAGCACTAAATTGGGTGAATTGGTTAGAAAATGGATGGATGGCTAAAAGGATGAATGAAAGGAAATAACGTATCCATTATCCATCTGCTAAGAGGGACATTTAGGTCTAATTGCATACGTGTAATACATGTAAATGATTGCAATACATCCAGTAGCAGTTTTGCTTTTTCTGAGTGATCACTGTGATCACTCTGATTGAACACTTACAGTAATTGGTGTTTTTGATGCAGTTGGAAGGCACTTAAAACACATTCGAAAATGTAACATTTTCTGACTGAAAAAAATATTTTTATTATTTTGTTTTGCAGGCAATACTGTAAATGTAAATGATAGACAGTCATCTTCACGTAGAGGAAACCTGCTCATTTGAAATCTCAAAAACATGGGTCATTTTCCACAAGTGACCCATGTATGCTGAGAAACTTCTCAGTCTTAAGCCAATGGAAACAGCCATTAATTTATCCTTCCCTTAAAGGAGCATTGTTACTAAAATGGGCACTAGAGGTTTCTCCCATTTATTTTATGGGTCTGTTGCATGAAATAAAAGGCTGAAATTTCCTTTGCTTCTGGAGGATTTTCTTGATATAGAAAAATGAAAGTCTTCCTAACCCTTGGTCCCCAGGCCACTGAAAATCACATATTTAAAAAGAAGTAGGATCCTTCTTTAAAGGAACTGTCACCTATGTTTTCAGGTATGTTTGAGGACTGAAGGAAATTCAGATTTGCATTCAAAACAGTCTCAACAATGGACTGGCATTCTGCCCAGGGTGTACCCTGCATTGCTCCCATTGCCTGCTGGGATAGGCTGGCTCCTGCATGACCCTGAGTCAAAAGAAGTTTCAATAATTACCTGCGTATGTGCTCACAATTACCAGATCATTAGAAACTGACATATTGTGTGCAGGATAGAAGTTATCCAGGGTTCCTGGGTTTGTGATTTCTGATGCAAAATACG